AAAAGCTTCTTTTGATTTTGCGCCAATTCAGAGATTTTTTCGTGTTCATTATCAAATTACAATATGAATACAATATGGTGTTAAAGAAAATAGGATTACAGATCGCCTTGCACAAAGTGGATATGGAGCCGTCGCGGTGGTCATATTCCAGACACTTCAAAAGCTTGGTATTAGACGTATGTTCGTTTATCGTACTATCAACAGATACAACAACACTTCATGAGTTGAGTGTCGAAGACCAGAAAAGAATGCAGCGACCGCGTGCTGTTAGAACTACAAAGGCTGTTAATGCTGTTGAAGCCAGAATTCCTCGAAAAAATAAGAAAAATTCTTATCGCGAGAAATAAAGATTCCTGCTAGGACTCGCGTATTATAAAACAAGACCTGAAACGCGGTGCTTATCTTTAATATACAGGTCTTGCCCTAAACTACCGATTCGTAGGCCGAGGCCAAAGAACCATGAAATACGTCAAAACTCTTTGTGATGTGAAAACATCTTCGATTGTATAAACGACTCCCGACTAGAGGAATGTATGGATTTACGTTCTTAAGGCAATTCACAATTCCGTAAATTACTTTAAATAGGTATATCAAGTCCACGTTTACTCTACATAGGCTTAGAGATAAAATGTTAAGTCATTTATAAAAAAATAACCTATCCTCATATTTACTTAAATACACATTTATTATTTTTAAAAGATGAATGGTATTGTTGCGTCATTGCGCAAGTTTTATAACAGGCAACTTTAAATTATTATTGTAAGGTGGGGTGACGTGCGCTATCACTTTTAGTTCTAATTGTCAAAATCAAAATCACCGGCGAAATTTTTACAAGAAGTCTAAAATGTTTTATTTACTGGTCCAGTAAAGAATGAACATGGCCCATTAGCGAAACAGAAGAGAAATAGAATATTAATCAATCGAGCAGTAGTATAGTAAAGTATAGAACAGCTAAAGTGCCATATCGAGAGATTTAACTTAAAGTTAAGTGTTCCTTGTCCTTTTCTTTCTGTGTTCCAATTTGGTTTAAATGAACACGACTCTGAAAAACACTACGCCATGACAGACAATGCAACTTGTCCATAAAACAGAGCAAGCGCCAACTACATTTGTGATTACATAATGTGATTAATAACGTAAAATGATTTACATAATTACGGCCCAGGCGGTTTAACCGACGTTTGAACAGATATTCAGGGTGTCGATTTTTTGTGACGGTGTGCGCGCGCATCGTAAAAATGTACTCTCATAATTTTTCCCTAACGCGCCAAAAGAAGTATAACTTCAAAAGTTTGAACAAAGAATTGAATAATTGGTACTTTGTCCTACTGTCCGTTCGGGCGTCAGTCGCTCGTTCCGCGCTCACGTTTGCACTTCAAGCCTTAAATGGAACGCCTCAGAGCGAGGTAACGCCGCATGCGTCATGTTTTTTCGTGTGTGCAGCCGGCTGCATCGAAGACGTTGTCACGTCAAAAAACTTCCTTGACATAGTATTCCTTGAATCCGTCGTCTGCATCTTCTGATGTCGCTTTATTTCATAACAATTAGGAATAAAACCAGAACAATTTTGTGCATTTTGAAATGATTTGAACAATAGCTTCGACGTTTTCTAAGTAACTAGCGTTTCTGACCGCGTTCTCAAGGAAAATGCCTTGTATGATAAAGAAGAGTATAAACAAGTTTTGTTTAAGGAAAATAAATTATTACAACAGCTTTTGACTCAGCTTTTGTTAAAATTTAAGTCAAGGCATTTTTTTACACATTGAGTGCGGTTTCGCTTCTTCTGTTTCGAACATACTTCCTTAGTTACATGTGAATATGAGAAATGACATAAATTAATTCAATGTAAAGCCACAGTTTCTCACACATTTATGCAACTTCCCTTGCTTAAATAAAGCACATAATTTTCTTCTAAAAATTAAAAAAATTAAGTTCAAGATCATAGCTATTGAGAAGACGAGCAACGCCAGATTCGATTAGTTACATAAAAACAACTTGTTTATATTAAAATATTGCGCCTGTTGTAAAATATCGGCAATTAGGCTTTTAAGAATAGGAACGCGATACTGCTAGGTTACAATAAGAATAACAATGCCTATATAATTATATTTGGTAAAAAAATAAAGCTATTTTAAATAAAATTATTTTTAGTTTTTCTTGACAAACATTGCGCCTGATAAATTAACAGCAACAATAATGCTTTCATATAAAGAATGCAGGATTGCTAAGATGAATTAGAATACACTTGTTTTGAATAAGTGTTAATATTAGGTCCTTACATATGAAATTGGCGTATTTCGTACTGGCCACTTAAATCACGATGTTCTCCTCTTTGGTAAGGAATTCCAAATTCAAATTTGTACAGCTATTTACTCATGTATTTGTGCTTCGATGACCGTCATTCATTTGTTTTTTTCTGTTTGCGTCACTCATTTTACAAAATGGAAAACATAAAGTATCGCATTATTTACGAGTACGAGTTCCGCCGTGGTTTAATGCTGCGGAAACGACTCGAAGGGTGAATGATGTGTATGGCGGTCATGTTGCAAAAGAAAACACAGTTCGTTTTTGGTTCCAACGTTTTCGTTCTAGAAATTTCGACCTGCAGAACAAGCCCCGTGGACGGCCTGAGACCCAAGTTGATAATGAAGTATTGAAGGCTATTGTGGAAGTGGATCCATCGCAAACCACGTCCGAGTTGGCTGCAGGCTGCGGTGTTAGTGATAAAACTGTTTTATTCACTTGAAGCAAATTGGGAAGATTAAAAAGCTTGAAAGGTGGGTACCTCATGAATTGACTGAAGCAAACCGGCAAACGCGCGTCGACTGCTGCGTTAAATTACTGAACCGGCACAATAATGAAGGTATTTTAAACCGAATCATTACCTGTGATGAAAAATTGATTCTTTACGATAATTGGATCCCGGCCAGCCAGCCAAATCCTGCCCCAAGCGAAAATTAACCCCAAAAAAGTTACTTGTAAGCGTTTGGTGGACTAGTGCCGGTATTGTTCATGGCAGTTTTATCAAATCTGGCCAGACTATTACGGCTGATGTCTATTGTCAGCAATTGCAAACCATGATGGAAAAGCTAGCAGCTAAACAACCAAGGCTGGTCAATCGCTCCACGCCACTGCTACTTCACGACAACGCTAGACCACACACTGCACAACAGACGGCTACCAAATTAGAAGAGCTTCAATTGGAATGTCTAAGACATCCTCCGTACTCCCCGGACCTTGTTCCAACAGATTACCATTTTTTCCGAAATTTGGACAACTTCTTGCAAGGGAAAAAATTTAACTCTGATGGGGCAGTCCAATACGCCTTCACAGATTTTATTGATTCCCGTCCGAATGGTTTTTTTAATAAAGGGATCAATGAACTACCTATGATATGGCAAAAGTGCATAGAAAACAATGGTTCATACTTTGATTAATTAAATATATTATATTTAAAAATATTCGACTTTTTGTTCCTCCCATACAAAACGCCAATTTCATATGTAAGGACCTAATATAAAACAAAGGTCCTGTATTTTGTGGCTGATAGCTAGAAAGAAATTAGTAAAGTTTCTACACAAACAAATCAGACTTAGAAAAGTTTAAGTTAAAAGTTTTTGTGTTTTATTCAAAACTTCAAATAGAGTTTTTTACTATTTCATTACATGATCATCTTGCCTACGCAAAAATTATTGCCTTATTGAATTATATTTAATTATTTATTTCTTTTAAATTATATTTTGAGATAATGTATATTTCTAACATGCATAATTTAAATTGTTGAACATAACATATTTAATTTACAACTAAACACTAACTAGACATACTACCTACCTAAAAGTATTCCTCGTATTTTTGGATCGAAGTAAAAATTTGTTATTCCAAAGTAAACAAAGTGAGAGTTTGAAAAGTGAGTTACAGAATCGTAAGACATACCTAACTTTTGCGTGTGTGTTTTTTGTTTACTATAGTCTAAATACTAGCATCTGAGGCTTTTGATTATCGAATCGAAACATATCGTAAAGAACATGCACATGACACAGACATATAAATATATACATGTAGTGTAGTCAATTGGTAATTTGGATGTAATTATACTCTTAAATATCTTAGAAGAAACGAGTTATTAGAAAAAAACTTTTTGAAGTTATACTTCTTTAGGCGCGTTATGAAAAATTTATGAGAGTGAAATTTTACGATGCGCGCGCACCTGTGACACAAAATTGGGAGTGTGATTATAGCGTGCGCGAGCGAGATAGGAATAAGACAATCTACAAGTAAAAAGAAATAGAATATGCGTGAAGTTCGTATGCCAAGAATTTTGAATGACCATAATGACATTTGTCATTTACCTTTTAAACAAATAAAGGAGTTTTGATTATTTTTTCAAAGAAATTTATTAATTTTATATTGTGCAATACTGCCAAAGCTACAACATACTTCTTAGTGTTTGGTAGAGATGTTCTAAATATATAATAATATATACTTTTAACTAAATAGAATTTATGTTACACTTAATGTAAGAGAATAATAATAAATAATTATTTATTTAATTTTTCAAATGTAAACTGAACTTAATTGACTATAATGACTCCTTTTCCAGTCTTTGATTATTTAATTGTAATTAATTATTTGCATGCAATCAAAAACTATTTTTAATAATGCCAAAGAAGTATAACTTCTACGCGCGTACATAAGTACACGCACCCTTTTTTTTTAAAGCACGGGGCAAACGGGCAGGAGGCTCACCTGACGTTATTTGATGTGGTATCAACTCATAACAATCATCGCCAGAGGGCTGCCGGCCTTTTAAGAATTGCTACGCTTTTCTTAATGGACTTATTTAGGATTCAATAGGTTTTCCTTAATTGGTAATAAAACATACTGTATATTTATATAAAATCTTTCATTTTTTAATATTGTATACTTATATTATAAAATACATCACAGTTATATGTTTAAACTAGTAATCGTTTCGTTATGGCCGTGTAATCAAGCGATTAACCTCTGAAAGGTTGTGCTTGGAAAATTTGCTGGGGTTGTTGGGGTTGAGACTGAATGTACTGGAGAGCGCGGGCGATGGCCTCCGGGATAGGGGGTGGTGTTGGTAAGTGAGCACCTTCAGCACGGAAACCTGTAAGAAACAGTTTATTAGGTTTATAGGCAATTTAATTAGCGTAACGTATATAATAAACAAGTTTATTTTATTTGAACGGTAATATTTAACGCCTAGATCTCATTATTAGCCAGTTATGACAATATCCTCAGTTTAGAATCATAGAAACAATAATACTATAAATTCTTTGTTGTCCATACATTTTTTATATAATTCAAGCCCGAAATAAATTTTGTGTTTTCTCCATAACAAGTTTAAGTTATAAGACAACGTCTAGTCTGCTAAGAATAGGTCAATTCATTTTCATATAATGCGTACTTTCGGTATGTTTGGTGTTTAATATAGATATATACCCACTATTCATAAAAACTTAATCAGTCTGTATGTCATCGGAATATAACAAAATCCTACGAAAGTTTATAAATTTCGTAGGAAATTCTATACGCGAGATAAATTGTATTATTTTACGCCCACATTTTCGGAAATTGATAAACTTACCGAACTCACGCGTAAAGTAATAGCGATAACTTAACGGCATGTGCGCTCTTATTGGTTGAATAAGTCACTTACCTAACCTACCCTACCCTAACCGCTAGTTTAGTTAGTTTATAAATTTATAAACTTGCGGATTTTGTTATCTTCCGGTGTCATATATACACCCTTTTAACTGTAGTACGTTTTCGTAGTTATGAACGTAAATATTCTAATTTTTTTTTCCAGTTTTGCTATTAAACTTACCGTTCTCATCAGCGATGTAGTTCAAAGAGATGGGAACACCCTCGGGTGATGTGTAGGAGAAGGAACCCTGAGCGACCTGCGCTTCGGCATCTTTGATACCAGCGTTCTTCAGATAACCTTGTTCTTGCGCCGCGATTCCATTTCCAGTTTCATAACTGTAAGAGATTGAATATACAGTTGAGACATAAGAGAAATATAAATTGTATATTAGTTGAAAATAGTGATGATCCCAAATTATATATTCAAATATAATATACGGTTTTTAATTATAAAGGAGATTTAAAAAAATCGCATTAATTTTATCTATTAACACTTTGTTGCACATATTTCATACACATAGTTGGTTCATTTCGATTGTGATAATCATATTTTTGTTACAATAATATATTTATATATAAGAAGGTAAATATTTCATGGAAATATGAATCACGCAAGATTATTTTAAGAATATGTTACCTTAAGACTTTACTTATCAAAGACATCTCAATATAAACCTGCCACAATTGCAATATATTCCTCGTTCTAGCAAAACTGGCCAGGTTTTTCATATCTTATGAAGTAATTTAGATATACACATTCACATAAACATAAAACGTTTAGTTCAACAAGTTTTAACTAAATAAAATCGAATTTATTTTATAAAACCATAGTCTGTACTTATATTAAGAAGCCGAATGCGACAGTCGCAAAATTATGACTCTTATACGAAAATGTTTTATCAACAATAACAAGTGTTAAATTTTAAACGAATTTAATTTGATTGCAATGATATCTTAGTACCACGCGCTCATTTATGATGTCCTTACATAATATTAGCATGATTTATTGAGAAATTAATTTCGAAATCTTCTAAGCTGTATATGAATCATATTACCTAATGCTAGATGAAAATCTAAATACCAATTTTAATTAGAGGCTTCAAAATATCGCATAACCATAATGCGTTGTCAATCTGCGAGAATCCTTTGTTTCGCGGCGTAGAATGTATGTTGTGAAACTATTCGTCATTTTAAATGAAGATTTCGGACATTAGCGCTATTTTTACGCTGTTTTGAAGTAGCCGCACCAGCAATCGTTTGCACCATTGAACAGTTTAAGTAAATTTTTTGACGCTAAATAATTTTGCATTATGTTTTTTTGTAAGCAATGATGTAAATAAAAAATAAATTGTGCGTGTACTAGGTGTACACACGTAAGAAGTGAAACCTCTTTATGACCTTGTTTTTCGAAAAATGATCTACTATATGCAACTTTACAGAAATTGGTTAAATAAAGTTAAATTAGATAAAGTTTAACAAAAGGCTTTTATTATCATAGACATGAATACAAATACAATTATTTCATTTTAACTTATTACTGTACTACTATGTAGTACTAAGATTATTACAGAATTTCATTAATTGTAATAGAATTATTAGTATTACTATCATTGTTATCGTTATTATATATTTTTGTTACTAATGGCTTCGAATCTCTTCGGATCAACCGTGGTAGGGACAAGAAAAATATGGCGCGTAACCGAAAAATGTGACAAATGTGTGTAAATTTTTTTCCAACGCCGATAAAGAAGTTTGACTTCAAAAAGCAACATGGCGCGTAACCTGCTACAAAATTTCTCCCATACGTCGATAAAGAAGTTTCACTTCAAAAGATGGCGCGTAACGGAAAAATGTGACGCGTAACGAAAAAATGTTACACTAATTTTTTTCCAACCCCGATAAAGAAGTTTCACTTCAAAAATCAATGGCACTACAACCTTTTTAGGTCTGGGCCTCAGATTTCTGTATCTGTTTCATGATCATTTGGCAATATAATAGGCAAGTAGTAGTGACTTTTTGGGTCTAAGACAAGTGTCCTCACGATGTTTTCCTTCACCGTTCGAGCAAATGTTAAATGCGCACATAGAAAGAAAGCCCATTGGTGCACAGCCGGGGATCGAACCTACGACCTCAGGGATGAGAGTCGCACGCTGAAGACAAGCCCAACACTGCTCTATGTAAAAAAAAACTATGTTTAAAATATAGCACATTAGTGACAGATTTAAAAAACAAGTCGTAAAAAAATTATACACAACCTTTTTTTTTAATACTGAACGCCGATTCTGATTCTTTCAAGTCCAGGGTTTTATTATTTATGAGGGGACGATTTCCCTAATTTGAAAATAGTTCTTGAACTAGAGAAAAATCTTAATGCCACAATAATAAACGCAATAAAAAAACAAGTGCCACGAATTAAAACACAATGAGCTTCTTTGTTAAACATGAAAATTATTTAAAGATAAAACTGTTTGACCGGATTGAAGTTATGTATTATTATAAATTTACATGTGTAAAGGTTATGTAAATCAAAGACAATACTATGAAAATTATTATTATTAATTGTGATATAAAGTTGGATACATCCTTGTAGATTTTATAGACATCCAACTTACAGGATATACGGTAAGGAAAGGAGCGGAACGGAGGACTTTAATGACACATTTTCACATGAAATCGCCGTAAATGTGGGATTCTCAATATACCAAAATATGGAAATATAAATTTCAATTTATTAAATATGTTAATAATATTAGATAGCCATAGATTACAGATGCATAATCGCTTATTATAGCCTCATAAATTATATTGATATACTTCGTTTTGCCATGTATATTATTTCTAGGAAACATTTTTTAGTTCAATAAAATTAACTATCTACTATAATAAAAAATAGGGGTTATTCGTAGAGGGGTGAAAATTAAGGGATATAATATGTATTTTTGTATGCTGTATCATAAAAACATAAAAACAAAAAGTTTTGTCTAACAATTAAAAATAAAAATTTAGGGGTGGGACCACCCTTTCATTTAGGGGGATAAAAAATAGATGTTGTCCGATTCTCAGACTTACTGAATATGCATAAAAATTACATGAGAATCGGTCGAGCCGTTTCGGAGGAGTATGGGAACGAACATTGTGACACGAGAATTTTATATATTAGATATCAAATTGCAATTAAAAGGGTGTTCCTCTCTAGTGTTTTTTGAAAACAAACGAAAAATTCTTAGACTAATTTAATTCAACCTATTGAACACGTCATAATAAGGTTTCAGACTATAATTCATTGCAAATGTTAGGCGTGGAGAATTATGTATGTAACATATTTATGGCATCGCAAGTAATGTATTTATTATTACATCTTAATTATTACAAGGATAACAACGGAATTCCTAATAGTGTTAGTGACAGTACTTCTGAACAACTTCAGGCCTATAGAACAGGGGCTCGTGAGTGCGTTGCCGGCCTTTTAAGAATTAGTACGATCTTTTCTCGAAGGACCCTAAGTTGAATTGGTTCAGAAATACTTCAGTGGTCAACTGGCTGGCGACATAGTGGTATAGCGAGGCAAAAACTGCCTTAAAAATGTTTACTTTTAACACTTGATAGAAATTTGCCCTGGCCCCAACGTGATTTAGACCCAAAAAATCTACGGGGTGTCCGGCAAGATAACGTACTTGCCTTTTAAGAAAGTATCAAGAATTGGATGCCAAAGGTGTGTTAAAAGGTGTGTAAAAAAATACTAAATAAAATACCGTACCAATATTAAAATGACATACTTTCATACGTGAAAAAACTTAGCTGTAGGTCAAAAATCTGCTGTCTATTTAGGTGATCGAATATTTTTAACCAACACTAAATAATATTTCGGAATGGAACTAAAAGACTCCATGTTATACTAGTAGCAGGAGAAGTTAACAGGTGTATTGATTTAGCAATTTGTATTGGCTTAAATAAATTATAGAAAAAATGCAACATGATGAAGACGATAAAAGCCCACGCAACACAGTGTCACAATATTATTGACATAAGAAATAATTAGGATCAAAACTAAAGTTTGATTTATTAGACACATATTATAGCTCGATATAAATATTTCATAAGACCATAATCAGATGCATGTCGAAGAAGTTCTTGTGTAATCAGGGCTTGGCAATTGTGTACGTAAAATTTAAGGTTTAATATGTCACTTAGTTATCCATAGAGGCACTCCTTTGTTGTGTAATTATTATAATAATATGTTATTACAACTACTTAAAAAAAACGCATCAATTTGAAGCCTGATTATACATATAAGTATGTTTTAACAAAATAAAAAGAAGATATTTGTTAGGTTAACTAATCTTAGGAACAACGGATTAACTTTTTTTTTAAACAACGGTTTTTTCTGTGTTGAATTATAGCCGAAGGCTATATAAGTATATAATGTAAATCTACGAATGTATAAACATATTACAGTAAATGACAGAAAACTATATGACATAATAATTTTAAATTCAAAAATTTATGCGGAAATGAAAAGTGTTACTCACACTGTATATGGTACTCACAGTGTTGTGTATGTAGGAATGTCTTTATATTATTTGTTCTTTAAAAACATCCTGGTTGGCAGAATTAATTTTTCACACGTAAAAACATATTACAGTAAATGACAGAAAACTTTAGGAACGAAAGACAAATGATTAAATATCATAGATTTAAACTATACGACATATTAGCTTGATTCTAAATTTAAAAAAATTATGCGGAAATGAAAAGTATTATTTACACTTAATATGGTACTCACAGTGTTCTTTAATAAACATAATATATTGTATTTTGTACATACGCAACTACGTAATCTACAAAATTGTTATGTAAAGTAGATGAATGACTATCAAGCTTAATTATGGTAATTTTGATGTATTATTTTACATAATGTGTACTTTTGATTTTTTAATTTTAATTTGGGACATCCAACTCAAATCGTTCTGCGCTATAAAAACGAATATTCTGTAATATACATATAGAGCTATCTAAGTCTATCGAAGATGTTTTATCAAAGATTTGTTTAATATTTTTAATAGAAGTTCCTTTAAATTAAATATTTTTATTAAGGCTCCTAAAAATGTTTAACACTTATAAAAAAACTGAGAAAACGACATCTATTTCCGGATCATTATATGTTGTTTTACTCTAAATTTTATTTTGCGTTTATTCTTTAAAGTTATTATAAACCTTTAACAGTACCGGTTTTAGCTAGACAACATGATTTAAATATATTTTTAAGGAAGGAAATGTATATGTACATTTGCCGAAGGAAGAAGGTTAAAAACATACTGACAAAACGAAGTATTGTTTCTCTGAGTATCGGATGTGAGCTATACCGTGCCAACTAAGACACGGGACCAGATGGGAAGAATTATACCACAAATTCTTTATCTTTAAATTGTGTATGAAACGGATCTAATTGACGGATATAAGAGAGATCTTTTTTAATATATGCTAAAAATTTAAATATAAACAATCAATAGCAAAAGCCACGAGACGTTTCAAATGCTTTCGTGGTTCAATTAAAAGTGTTATCTGTAACTCAATGACAATAAGAAAAGTATCTTATTTCCAACCGACTTATTCAAGACCTACCTCCATTGGTAGGAGCCATCTGGGTTGAGTTCTTGCGTCTGTCTCAAAATCGGGATGATCTGTGGCTGATACTGTTGTTGGGGGGAGTAGTTGAATTGGGGCGCACCGTAACCGATCGCCATGATAGCGGACAAGATCAAGAACTGTAAAAAATATCGTTAACGAATTATTTTTAGGTGGTGTATTAGGTTAATATAATCTATAATTTGTAATTGCTATATCATATTCATTACACCAAACACAGCTGTAATTTTATAAGAAGTCGGAAGAAATATTTTAAAATCCTTACAATGGAATAGTTATTATATAAAGAACAGAATATTCTAGATGTTTATAATTAAATACATCTTTGCACATACTATTGTCTTTTATTGACATAACTTTTACACATTTAATAAAACAATTTTTTACCGGATTGAAGTTATGTACCTATTTAAAATTATTTTACATAATTTTAAATTTAAACCACGTTTCGCGTGCTTTACAGCGTGCGTCGTCACGGTGACTGAAGAGAAAAGGTGTTGAATGTCAAAAATTATCACAGCTGTAGAAAAAGTTGTATTATCTGTATTTATTTCCCCGGAGTTGGTATCGACTAAAAGATGGAGTGTTTTGGCAGAAATGGCTCACGGTGTCCTCTATTTTCGCGGATTGTTTATCTTGAGATTTTAATAATTGTATTCAATCCGGTAAAAAATTGTTTTATTAAATCTTTGCACATGCCACCTACGACTTGTTTTAAAAATTAAAGTAATCTTTTTATTACTCTACAATTACTACAACTTTTGACATTAAGTTTGAGAACTAGTTAACAGAAACCATAAATAAAAAATATAGCCGATTTTAACTCACCGATTTCATATTATATATTGTGAGATGATCCTCGATGGAAGTGTGAAGAAGGAATGATTTTCAGATGCAACGCGCAGGCTTTTATACGAGACCGCGCATCGTGAAATTAGAGTATGTTCGACACAAGCGGGCTTAAACATCAAAGCACCGCCCGCCCGCCCGCGCGTTGATGCGTATCGCGTAACTTTAGCATATTTTAACCGTGTTTATAAACACGTATTGTAATTTATTTATTTCATTTTTTTAACATTGTAAAACTTATAATAGTAAATTAAAATTAAAATCGTAAACAGACTAAACATGATAACTTCTCCATTCTCCAATCTAGTTTGTCTTTTATTTGTAAATGGAATAATCGTAACCATGGCAACGAACACGATATTAACTTCCATCCGCGTTTATTGTAAGGTCCATTATTATTTTAGCAATGAATATAAAACATATTTGCCGAAGGAGTTTCCCCCGTCCGAGTCTATCAACAGTTTTTATTTTATATATTAATACATTGATTTCTCAAAATTGATATTCGTTTGTTTATTTGAAAATATATGTTAAATTAATTTAAATTTGTCAAACATTATAAATAGTTTCAAGAGGTTGAAAAGTGCACATATATAAGAATTAACGTAGTATTTGAGTATTAACTAGCAGCATTTAAAATTAGCCAAACAAAACTAAGTAATCTAATTCTTTATTTGTGTTACTATATAGTTTTGGACTTACATTTTACTGTATATTAAAATGTCGTAATAAACGAAATGCCTTTATGAAATCACGCCCGGCATCTCAACCATGAGATCATATATTGACATTCAAGTATCGGTATCAGTTTGTGCAATAATCTTTTTAGAATATAAAGTCATCCTCATAACCTTGGAATTTAGTATTAATAGAAATATTTTCACTCTCTTTAGTGTGATGAGCGATGCGAAGTTGTTTCCTATATCTGTATGGATGTAGTGTTGCTGTTTAATTCTGATTTGGTCAACAAGTCCAATACGCGTTGCCATATGACATAATACGGTATGATGTTACATCCGTTTATAATTTTAGTACTTCGATATGTTATGTTCTCAATGCCCTTAATTTTTTAGAGATACAGTATTTTCATGTTTGCAAGTATAAAATATGCAGTCATAGAAATTATGCCTCAATCAAATCATGGCTGTATTTTTGAAGTTATACTTCTTTTGGCACGTTAGGTAAAAATGGTGAGAGTAAATTTTTACAATGCGTGCGCACACCGTCACAAAAAACCAACACCCTGAAGTTAGCTATAGTCAACATTTTAGTTTCTTTGAAGTTATACTACTTTTTCGTTAAAGAAAAATTTGTAAATTTATTACGATGCGCGCGCTCACCGTCGCAAAAAAACCGACACCCTGAATATCTGTTGGTAAATCAGTCTAGGCCGCTAGTTGGCCCTTGCTCTGTTTTATCGACAAGTTGCATTGTCTGTCATGGCGTAGTGTTTTTACGAGTCGTGTTTATTTAAACCAAATTAATGATTTCTATACGATAAAGCCCGTTCAAATGTGATAAAAAACATAGTGTTTATTGTAAAATATCAAGATTAGTATATATTATATCATTTCGATTGGAAGTGACCATTAAAATGGACAAGAAAAATGCAATTTGAAGAGGGAAACGTCCCTCTAAAGCGCTCGAGAAAATTATTACGCCAAAGAAGTATAACTTCTAACGCGTGTACACACACTTTTTTTTTTTATTGAACAGGAGGCAAACGGGCAGGATGCTCATCTGATGTTAAGTGACAACGGCGCCCGCTCTCATGCGCTCTGTGCCTATTTTCCGTGGTAAATGATTTCGTTTGATACAACTATACTATATAACATATTACGCTTATTTTATTGATAATAGCTTGCCAACGCTCGGCACGCTGATATATTAGCAAAAGAACCACAATATCATCGCTGTAGAATGATAACCTCGTATGTCAAAAAACCATTAACATATTTTTAAACTCTTATGTCATTTAACTGGTATAATCATTATTAATAACATAAATTAGTCCTTACTTCATGATACCATCCAAAACTATAGACAAAAACACATAATAATATTTTAACCAACATTGACGAAATGAAACATTTTTTTTTCGTTTCCAGTAATGTTTGGTTCACTGGACATACGAGGTTATCATTCTACAGCGACGATATACAATTTTTTTATGTGACAAGCACTTATGGCAAACATGACACACACGAAGAGAATACAAATATTACGCAAAACAATTAAAATTCCAAAAACTATATAAAATTGGACTTTAAAGTGTGAGAGCAACTATGGATATCCAGACCTAGCTTGTTTATCAGAATGCTTAATCTGGACATCGGTAAGCTTTGACAAATACACGTTCTTCGGAAAGGAGGGACAAATGAAATGAAATGATACACTTTTAAATAAAAATTTTATTACATGAAAATTTATGTTTGCAATAACAGATAAGTAAACTGGCGTTTAATCTAATATATAAAATTCTCGTGTCACAATGTCCGTTCCCATACTCGGCTTGACCGATTCTTATGAAATTTTTATGCATATTCAGTAAGTCTGAGAATCGGCTACTATCTATATTTCAAACCCCTAAGTGATTATGTTTTTTTAGACAAAATTGTTAATTATGACTTGAACTCTGAGAAAAATCACAGAACAACCTAAAAAGTTTTCATTCCGGAATAGTCTCTGGGGTAGCATAGCAAAATGTTCCATGTTGGTATGTACTCAAAAGTTAGGTAGGTATGTACTAGGCATTAAGGAGAAACGAAGTTCGCAGGGGCAGCTAGTTAAATATATATTATCTGTATACGTGACGTTCACACATATATCAACCTGACTGCTGAGTGATGATTTGTCATTTGTCTGTTATAAATGTATTAAAAGTGCATTTTTCTCCTCGCGGTGCACATTACGTAAGAACCATACCCTTGACCCATATAAATTCGTACAACTGTTCGTATATAGTAAATCAAGTTTACGAATCATTAAGTAATTCAATCATTAATTTTTACGCGTCCAACACGCATCAGTTAAGACGTATTTGGGATAAATTGATTGCTTCCCCATATTCGTAGACATTTATGAGACAATAAAGCTCTGACAATGTCTTGAACACGTTTTATTGGTAGAAAAATAAACATACGAAATCTTTTTAACTTGTAAGATTATCTTAAACAATTGATCAAGGGCTAAAGAACGCTAACAATTCAGGTTTCTATACGGTCATGAAATCACATAAACAAATCAGTGGCGCTACACAACCTCTCTAGGTCTTGGCCTCAGATTTGTGTAGCTGTTTCATGATCAGTTGTCAATCTAAAAGGCAAGAAGGTGATCGGCCTCCTGTGCCTGACACATGCCGTCGACTTTAGGGTCTAATAGAAGCCAGTTTCGACACAATGTTTTCCTTCACCGTTCGGGCGAATGTTAAATGTGCACATAGAAATAAAGTTCATTGGTGACCAGCCGCGGATCGAACCTACGACCTCAGGGATGAGAGTCGTTCGCTGAAGCCACTAGGCACACTCTTACTGTTTATTAAAAGTAAGTTTTTTCGTCAAAATCAAATTTTTCATTTCAGTACTAAATAATATAAAAATTTTGCGAATATAAATATCAATAATTTTTCATAATACGTCAAAAAATAGTATATTCTAAATTATTCTTACAATTAACAAGTTACCGAGCGGTGCAGAACCGACACACTTTTGTGTGTTAATAATTGTGTGGTGTTGTTAATAATTTTCACAATTTTTTTTCTTTTTCAAGAATATAAAGTCTTACTAGCTTTGATGTTTATTTCAAAAGAAACATAAGAGTTATTAAAATTCCTTAAAACCGGGTAAAATAGTCAAAACAAAGTAAATTGTTTATTTCCGTGTCCTCGTATAAAATAAGTCTAATATTATTCAAATTCCATTCATAAGTAATTGTTATTTGAGCCGTGACCTTTGTTATTGTTTTATTATTTAAAATACCAAAATTTATCCGTTTATTATGATTGATTACTGCTATTATATATTGATCGCATTTTGTTATAAGTGATATATAAATAGGCATATAAAGTAGTAACTAAAAACCCTCAAAACAATATATTTATGACTACATTTTTTTTAAATTTATTTTACAGAATAATAATAATTGGCGAGCATGTTGGTCTAGTGGCTTCAGCGTGCGACTCTCTTCCCTGAGGTCGTAGGTTCGATCCCCGGCTATGCACCAATGGACTTTCTTTCTATGTGCGCATTTAACATTCGATCGAACGTCATGCTTAAACCCTTTATTTAACCTAATTACGCAGGTTCACTGCTCATATAATAAAATAAATTAGTGCACTTCAACCCTTGGTACAGCCTCAGATGACGATATCTGTTGTATACGAAAGTACGCTTTCTGCTCTGTGGCTGTTTCCTCCTCCTTCACAATATTTGTTATTTACGCATATAGAAAGATAAATTTAGCAACTGGTACACAAACCCGATGTCCCCAGTATTGAGAATCACGCGCCTATAACACATTTACTATGAGCAATACTTAAACTTGGCATTTAACAGACTAAAGGCAGAATATGTGCAAGAAACTGAGATTGATGACTTGAGCTGGCGATCGACATCTTCCTATAATTGACTAATTCACAAATTGACCCCTTTACCCGAACGAAGGCAGCAAAAGGATCCAATTTATCAAACTTCACAATGATAGACCTTAATTATGATTCGTGTTAATCTAAAGAGCACGTCACACATGAGGCAATCTAGGTATATAATGACTCAAACATATTCTAGAAAACATTTTATTGGTTCGTTCGTTACTTGTTTATCTGTAGAATAGACTTCTTGTTCCTATCTGTTTTATTTTTCTCACACAGATTGTTTAAACTTTAAAAACGGTTTTGTATCTTTCAAGTAAGTTTTTTTTAAAATGGAATCTCGCCTTTTCGCATTTAAAGCTCAGCTCGGCCTATAGGTCTATGGTCAATCGCCTGAAGG